GCAGCCCCGCCACATGAAGTGTTATAAACCCCCCGACCCCATTTCTCCGTTCGTATTCAATTTTGCCATTGGGGATGTAAGCTTCAAAAATCGCTTAGGATAGTTGGACAACGCGTAGGGCACCGATTCGCGGCCTCCGACAGGGGATCAATGAGCGACAAGGATCGGAGTTGGTGTGTAGGCACCGGAGAAACAAAAAAGCCACAGTCGATGCTGAACTACAGTGCTATTATACAAAGAGTAAAAGATCAAAGTGACAACATACTTCAACAATGTCCTCAAACAAAGACAAGTACAATCAGTCGGTCGTTACAAGAACAGGACATCAATACGGTCGTCCAGTCAGCAAAATGACCCAGCGCGGTTACATGACATGCGAGACATGCACCAGTGAGCCAATCAAGAAACCAACAGCCACTAGTCCAATCACATCAAGCAGGTTCAATGGGGGACACATTATGAAGACCTGAGGTTAGGGGCACATGTCAGCCGGATGGGTAGTGTGTCCACCTCACAAAATCTCCGGTCTACCCTGACCTCAATAGTAACACGCAAATGGAACAAGTGCGAAGCAGTGATCGATAAAGTGGAGCATGCATCAAAGAAAGTAGCGAGACAGGTGATGTCACCAATGTAAGGTGGGCATGGAAAACAAACGACTAAGGGTCATGCAGGGCGGTATACGTGGAACGTTCAAACAGAGTGAATTCAAGAGGAATTAGGGCAATAATGTGGGTCCAGGCGAAGGGTGCTGGCTGTTGACAAAATGGACGTTACAGGGGATGTCCTAAAGAACACTCTGGGCGATCCTTTGAAAGGTGGTTTTGAGCTCCTCCCAAGTAGTCGGGTTGTTGATGTGGATTATGTTGATGATATCGCCTTGCTTCATGACGACCAACACGCCGTCCAACTTGCACTAAACTGCTTGGTAATTGAAGCATCAAATATGGTATGTAGTTTTTGCCATCCAAATGCAAGGCTCTCTTTCAAGCCTAGCAGGTGCCTGTGCTTCCACTCACCCTTAGTGGCCAGACACTGGACTTTGTGGAGAGCTTTGTCTACTTGGGAAGCTGCATCACTGCTGGCGGGGATGTTGGAGTCGAAATTTCGATGCGCATCTTAAGAGCATGCCTCACATTTTCTAGGCTAAGTCACTTGTGGCGTCGCCACGACATTCGTCTCTCCATCAAAGGGCTGGTCTACTGTGCCCTATTGTACTGTACTGTTGTACGGCTGCGAAAACTGGCCCATTCGTAAAGGTGATTTGCGCAGACTATCCGACTTCGGGCACCGTTGTCTGCGGTCCATAGCCCGTGTTTGGTGGCGGCATCACGTAAGCAGAAAGTGGTCAAGAACACCATCCGGCGAATGCTCCTCTGTAGACAGAACGACGCAGAGCACTTTGGACATCTAATTCCTTGATATTTACGAACATTTCAATTCAATATAAGTAAAGAAATGAATAAATGTATATTCTACAATGTACACGAGAAATACCATCGAAGGCCAGATCAATTGGCACAACTAGCAATTATCTGACTGTGAGGGCAATAGTTGCATTCATGACTAAATTGGTTTGCTGTCTCATGGTGCCACCAGTGCATCGCGGCAGACTGAAATCTAAGGGCATTGTCACGTCAAGTCAATAATTTGTTTTACGCACCCATGAAGGGTGGATTTTCAGCTGTAACACGCACGCGATCGAAACGATAAAGCCAACAACACTGTGACCTTACAATGTGCTCCCGACTGTATGCTTCGCTATAGCAGCGAGAGCAGCCTACTAAAGCTTATCGATTAGTTGGAAGCCAGTCATGTGGCGATAACAGCTTTTGTGTCGATAGCAATACGGCGCCCATCGACTGGTCATCACATAAGGCCAGGCTGTATTTTTCAATTGCCAGCACAGCGACCCACTAACCACTTCGCAGGGAACCCTTTTGCTGGCTTTTCATCTGCATGAAGGCCGAGTACCGATCGATTGAAGCATGACACGTTCAGTGCGGCTGTGGTGTCTGGCTAACGTCCAGTTCTCACAGCCGAACGGCTTGTGTTCCGTTCATATTGCCCTGCGGTCGATGCATGACCCATTCATTGCGGCTGTGGTGGTAGCTAACGTTCACTTCTCACAGCCGAATGGCTCTGCGGTCGTAGACACACATGTCGCGCCTCTGTGCCCCATCTCACGGTTGCCGGAAAAGCAATTTGCGCCATTGGACAGTTAGCAAATCAGCGTACCGGGGTACGTCAGTACCTGAGTGCAGCCGCTCCTAGCTCCGGACATGATTAATGAGACACCCCGTTTATATATTTTGGCTGGGGAGAACGTTTGAGAATCTGGGGTTTTCTCTGCCGCTGGACTTTTTGTGTCTTCTGCCACGCTTCGGCACGTGTACCATAACGTGTTGTTTTTGGATTACGCTCTAGCAATGCTTAACTTGGATATATTTCTTTGAGGTTGCGTTTCACGTTAGGTGTGTCTGTTATTCTCTCAGTTCCACAAAATAGCACGAAAATGTTATGGATTGCTCTTAAGCACAGTTGTGTATCTCTTCCTACTCTTATCTGATAGCTTTTATGTCGTCAGCAATATATCCTTATATAAGGTATTAAGGACAACGCCTTCCCGACTATATTAACGAAACATTTGTAACATTTTACTGACCATGTGTAGATAGAAATCCTTATTCATCGCTCTTTTAGGGTTCAGCTGTCCGTGTAGCGGAGCAGAGACCCCACAGTTCATACCAGACTTGTCAGCTTGAGGTGAAACAAGGCGCAGATTCCAAGTGAAGCTTACGGAAGCTAGGATACGTGATTTTAGTTCACTGATTACCGAGTGGTCGGATGTGAGATTGTACTATCTGGACGTTCGATAATTACGCCATTCGTCACAGGTGTCATTGTGCTGAACGCTATTGATATTTCCGGGCACTAGGTGGTCCAAACGAATTGGAGGCTGGAAGGTTTCTGAGAATGAACTTATTCTCTCCGTTGGCTAGTTTACTTTCCATGACTAGGCCGGTTGTGGACACTTCGCCATTTCTTCAAAGTTGTACTGACTGCTCCGCGTGCTCTGTGTTTGATCCCATATATTTCTACTCTTTGTTCTTCTGATCGTGAGTTCTTCCCTTGGTTTATTTATTTACTTCCCTGCTTCGTCTCTTTAACCGTCTTTCATTTACTCTTCCCAGCACAGTTTCCTCATTTTTGCGAATTGCATTACGACTCACCGGGTGCGCATTTTTCTTACGGTGTTCTTGTCACTGTACTTTTCTTCGTTTTACATCCAATGCAACGCTCTTTTATTAACATTTGCATATTTCGGCTGCATTATTGCACTTGTTCTATCAACGGACGTCATGTTTCCGGGATCCGCTAAATTACGGTTCTGTGCTCTGAGTTGAGACGGAAAGATTCATCGTAACAGCCCTTCGAGTGATATTTCTACATTGCTACCCACACACATTACATGTTGCCCTAACTATTATGTTTATACTACAGATTGAGGCACTTTTTAAACCTGCGATGACTGTGTCCTTGTCGACACAAAAACCCACAACGTTTATGTGCATTTTCGCGATGATTACATATAATGGTTACTTGAATGCTGAATTTCGGAACATATACATTTGTGCAATCATAAACCTGACAATTTTGAGTTTGCAAAGAATCAGTAGGGGAATTTGTATGCAATGACTTAAATTTATTACAGCTAGATTCCGTCTGATACTGCCAGCCTTCTGGAAGACCACTGGGTAGTCGTTTCATCCTTTTGGATGTCGTAGGCAGTGCAGATTGCTTTTGTACCCTGTGGTACTAGAACCCGTTGTCCCACTGTTATATGTCTGTTGTTAAGACCACTGGACCGCGCGGAAGACAACGACTGTTATGACCAAGCTACTGAATGTGATACGGCGTTCTGCGTTACTACCGTGCAGTGGACGCGGTAGGTCTCTAAGAAACTACTTTCCAAACTATTGGCACTATGGGCAACCTGGGCTGCTCACTGACTACAAAGAAACAATGGAGCATTTGGCTGGTATGCGTTGCATTCGTTATAACTAAACTCAGAAAACGGCAATCACTCTATCGAAAAAACATCAGCTGGTTGCTTTGTCCTTACTGGAATCGTCTGCAGTGTACACCGTTGGTTTTAGCTTTACTTTATAAAGGTAGGAAAGGTACCAACATTACGCATTGTGATGGGATTGTGCGTGCAGGAGAACAACACGATTTACATGGCGAAGCAAGCATCTGGCTTGTCGCAAGCGAACAGAGCAGTTGATTGGACAGCTACGCATCTTTCGTCTTCGCGTTGATAAGTTCATTGGAGCGGGTTTGTTTACTTGATTCGAAAGAAGAATCTCATGAATGCACTGGCGTCGTCAGTTATGGAAATGACTTAGTTGTTTACATTGACGTTCCTACATGCTTGTTATGCTGTCATTTTTGCTGAGCTTGCCTTGCTGAACGAACCGTTTGTTCCTGAAGGACCGAGTACTGCGACACACATGCAGGCGGTACCGACGCCTCGCTTCCATACGACTAACACCAGTCACTTGCGAGCTGGGGATACTGCCGACCCGTAGCCTTAAGAATCACAAGCCTGCCTAGTAATCCGAGGGCACAGGTTCGACCCTACGTAGGGGACCAGGCGACGCTCGCAGTATCCTTAGACCACAAACGACTGATGATGGTTGTACGGTAGCGAAGCGTCGGTACTACGTACCGATGTACTGCGGGTCCGCCTGCGTCTGTGCAGAATCGAACCGGTGACGTTTGGATTGCGATCCAAACGTTTTATCCGTCTTGTCACCAGCTTCGTTACTCTTAGACTATCCCGAGAGTGGGTTCAAGCCTTCGTTATGCCCTGTTTCTTTGGCCTATTACGTATGTTACTTCTACAACTCTATGACCCTAGTGTATTTTATCCTTCATTCTTCCTTCAAACGCATTTTCCTCCATAACCATTTATTGCCACTTTTTCTTCCACGCAGTTCAGCATACATCAGCTACGTTGATTGTGAACGAGGTGAGCTTTTGGTTGTTTGGATTCTCCTAAACACAATCGCAAACCCACACCTTATTTTCTACTGAACCAGGAGTTTTTTTATGTATAATTCGTTCACCGTGTTCATTAATTTTTCATTCGGTCATGCTCAGAACGTGCTGTTCTGAGCATTCGGGCGGTCGCCCTGATACACGTCATCCTTTTCTCAACTTAATGTATCCGGTTTGGCCTCTCTCTATTGCAGAGTTGGGACGCATCTGTCAAGTACGTTATTTGCAGAACATTGATAGCCATAATCCCCACCTTTCAGGACTGACATGGAGATGCTGCTGAATCGCATGTTCCCAGAGGTACGTCTATTTGACTTATTCCTCGTATCTTAATGTATCGTCGAATTGAGTTGCGTCTTGGAATCAACAGTGCGCCGGAGAAGCATTTCGATACGAATAATCTATTCCTGAGTACGCATTTGCGCACAGGGCATCAGTTATAATCATATTAAGAACTGTCTAAACTTGCAGCTAGTTGCATCTGTTTCCGGATTTGCCTATCACTGCGGCCTCCATAGAGAAGCCACAGGACGTCTGCGCCTACAGACGGACCATGAATGGCTTGCGCTGCACCACCCACATCTCCATCAACACACCCCATATCCAGTGTAAACTCGAAGGAATAAGACCGGAAGGCATGTGGAGGGAAGCTACGTTTCATCAACGGAGCCGGCCCACACTCCTTCAACATGCACAGCAGCAGTATTCCTCTCCACATGTCTAGGGAATCATACGCACCAGGCGTACAGAACGCGATGGCTGTGCCTTACTCTACTCCACACCGGATGGAACCACTCTTTGAATCTAACACGGTCCCCAGGACTGTGCATCCCGTCCCCCCAAGCCCCACCATCAAGTCTCTCGGACCCAATGATCGAGGTGGCGGTTTTCGACACGTGCGCACCTGTCACATCAAGCGCGTTCAGATTGGGGGTATCAATAAGCAAATGCCTCATACAAGATTGCGGAGAAAGTGGGGTGGTACGAACGAACGTATTCATGGTATAACATTTCTAACAGAACAGTCGGACTCATTTGCGCATATCATTCTTGGTACCATTTGATACCACGCTGCGCTTTGTGCTATCGACTTAGGTTGCCGTGACGGTACGGCATAGGTTCAACGCTCCAGCGCCATCCATTTGCAAAGCTAGTTGAATTGTGCATTAGGCGCCCGTCGTCCGCGGTGATCCACTAATCGCTGAGTTCGTCGCTCCTGCTCGTTTCACCGCGCTACTCATTAGTAGTGCATCACAGATAAGCACGCGGAAACACGCACATCCCAACTGCAGCGATGATGAAGCACATGTGCCCCCTCTTCCGCATCATTGTCATGGGCTGATAAATATTTATTATATATTCAACTGGCTGGCTAGCTGAGCAACCTCCTCGTGGTGGCGAGTGGTTCGGGTTTACCCCGTTCCTGCAAATAGTTCGGCGGCAGTGTTCCAGGACGTGGTGGGTTTTCGCTTGGTAAGTGTTCTTCCTGTAAAAAGCTACAAATGTCTGCTTTACAACACTGTGACGTAGCGGTTGTGACTCGCCACCAACTAAACTCACCCCTTGCTTATCCGGACAACCGCTTCAAGTCCATAAATTTTCTTGCATTCCTTTAGCACTGGCTACACGATCAAAAGTGGGTAAAATATTTACAAATCCCATACACGACTATGCATGCCTTCATGCCCACACACATACATTCATCTGTCCACATAAGTGACAACCCTATTGTTCTATTCTACATTGACTGAGCACATTTTTATGCTTTTACCGTGATCATGCCTGTGCAGGCGTGCCTCGCGTAGTCGATAATAAAAATTTTATTTATTTATTCCTTTTATTTATTTACTTACATTACAATTGGCTGAGTGCCACAACGCGTAGCTGAGAGATAAATAGAAATTGAAAGGAAAAACGACTGTTAGTGTTGAAGTGTCTCACAACAAGTGCACCATTGCGTATGGTCCTTGGCCATATCCAGTATCGTTTGCAACCAGACTTGCCTGTGATCCTTTGGTCCCCAACCGGGCAGTCGGGAATGACCAACAACAGCCAGCTTCGACGTTTGCGCCTTAACGCATTGGATCCAAGTTTTCAACTGGCCTCCTTGTTGTCGCTTCTATCCCACGCCTTTGCTCGCAAATTGAGCACGTGGTAGCCGCTGCGTAGGCATGCGGAGCACATGCTTAAGCTAGCGGAGCCTCCGCAGTGATATGTTGTTGTCAATCGATCGGCGGAGTTTGTCAGATTTGAAGACTCGCCGACGGACTTCCTCATTACAGTTGTGAGGCTACCATCGTGAACCAGCAGCGCTTCGCATGCAGCGGTGATCGAAGATAGATAGCCGCTGAACATCACTTTTGCGAACGGGTAAAGTCTCACAGCCATACAGCCGAATCGCTGGTACCGCAGCTTTATAGGCTCGTTCCTTGAGAGCGATACTGAGGTCACAACGAATCCACAGGTGACGAAGGTTACTGTACGCTACTCTGGTCTGGGGACACGCAGAGAGACCTCATCCGTCAAACCGCCAATACTAAGACGACTTCTAAGATAAATGAATTTCTCGACCACTTCCAACGGGTGCCCTGAAAGGGTGAGAGAAGGAGATTTACTTGACCAGTCCTCTACCAAGACCTTACATTTGGAAGGGGCAAAGATCAACCTAAATTGGGAGGCGTACATCTCCACTTGCTGGGCGGCCTGGGAGGATTCACAAATCGCAGCGGTCATCAGCATACTCCAACTCACGAATGCGATCATCAAGGAGCAGCCCAACACTCTAGGACTCAGCGTTTTTCAGGGCAGTTTCTAGGATCTCGTCCATGACGAAGTTAAACAAAAATGGAGAGGCTTGGCAGCCCTGTCTACCATCGCTAGTGATATAGAAAGGGGTCGAAAAGTCTCCGTATACCCGCACTCGGCCAGAAGCTTTATGGTAAGTGGCACGGAGAATGCCACTTCTCTGCTGCTCCCCACTTCAGTAAGCAGTCCCAAAGCGCCACTCCGTCAAGTGAGTCAAACGCGAATCGAATGTTCAAGAATATGATTATGGTTGGTCGACTGAACGTATAGCGATGTTCAAGGATGTGACGGATGGTAAGGGTGTGATCGATACAACTGCGACCCGGGCGAAATCCAGCCTGTTGTTCACGCAGGTGCTGTTCCCGCACGCAACTGAGTCTACGCAAGACCAGGGCAGCGAACAGTTTGGATGCGACACAACTGAGACTGATGCCACGATGGTTGGTGCAAACGGTCCGGTCTCCTTTTCTGGAGACAGGTACAACATCCACTGATTTCCAGTCGAATGGAATGGTTTCAGTAGTCCAGATCTGAGGAGAGATGTCAGTTCATGGGTGTGATCAGGACCCCATATTTGAAGAGGGCAGGCGGATGTTTATCTAGGCCAGGTGACTTCTGGCGTTTTAGTATTCGAAGCTCATACGAAACCTCAGCCTCAGTTGGTGGAGATACATCAACACACCAGGGGGCACTGAATCCCGGAAGATGGACTCGGTTGTGATGGTGGCCAATTGAACTGATCTTCAAAGTGCTCTGCCCATCCTACCAGACGACGGTGACCACTGTGAATTAGTCCGCCGTCATTTTCACTCAAAACCTCATTCACTCTTAGCCACCTGCCTTCAGCGGACCGAAAACGTTAGGAGAGTTTGCGGTTGTTTCCTGATGAGGCTGTCCGCTTCTTCTCAACCACGCGTTGTGTCCACCAGACCTCGCGGTCCTTCCTGAGAAGCTGTCTGAGCTCAGCACTTGTGCTTCTGCATACTACGTTGTACTTAACTCCTGTGGGAATTGTTCAACGGTTTTCACTTAATTGGAGAGACTGTGTGGAGATCCAGTGACTAGCAGCTCATCTAATCACACCACAGACCAAGGTAGCAGACTTTCATAAGGTGGTCTGAATCTGTGCGCAGTGTGTCTCAACATCGGAGCATAGAGAACACAGGTTGGAGTCTAATGTGTTCTGAAATGAACCGAGAACCTTTGGTCGGCGAGCTTCTCTGTGTCAAGCCGTTTCCGGCGACGTTGTTGGGTGCTTCCAAAACACCAGACGACCTTAGCACACACGAGCGCATGATCAGAAGTCAGGTGGGTGTTCCAAATTGACTTGTAGGCCGTTATGTAGCCTCTCCAACGGTATCTAGTAACGATGTGGTCAATCGGCGTCCAAGCTTGACCTGGTGCCGAAGGTCGCCAGGTGGCTCGTTGGCGCTAGGAACGCCGGAACTTGGTGTTGATAAGGAGCAAGCCGTGGTGGGCACACAGTTGAACCAGTCGATCGCCGTTGTCCGTCCTGCAATTGCTGTGGCTGTGTTGACTCCCAAGTTCGCGCTCATTAACCTCTAGTCTACCGATTTGTGCATTTAGGTCTCCGGCGAGTACCACGATGTCCATGCGGTGTTTCTTGCGGAGGAAGTCGGTGAGTTGGCGGTAGAACTCGTTTTTAGCATCGTTCGGGCTGCAGTCCGTAGGTACGTACGCCGCTACAATGAATCATCAGCGCCTACTTGTCCCGTGGCTGGAAGATTGCACTGAGCTTTGCAAGCGGATTGCACAAAATGGCTGTTGACTGGAAACCAGTCGATGAGCACTTCCTCAGCACGCGCGCTTAACGCAACTCCTACACCATCTCAACTAGAGACTGCAGCTGTCGCATCTCCAGATTAGCGCAAGGTGAATGTGCAATGGGAACCTGAAGATGGTGAGAGCAATCGCAGCATTGTGCTGGAGTCCTGTAAACGGGTTTCGGTTAGGCAGCAAACCATGATTGAGAGGATTTCCAAGGTGCGCGCAAGAGCAGCTTGTGATCCAACCTGCATAGGCGTCCGACCATTGAATGTAACTAGCTTCAACAGCGAGCGGGATGCAATGAAAGTCTTGCTGTTGGAATTGGATTGTGTACCATCGGTTTTGAGAGGTTCGTTGATGAGGCCAATGGCACTGATTTTATTTCCAATGAATTTTCGGAGACTCTAAATGCGAGGGGGGTGCCAAAAACAGGAGGGTTGAATAAACGTGAAACGAAGTAGGTACTTTGCGGTGCGGTAGAGTGCGTCTTAACATGCCCGAGCGTCAGCACCTCGGCCAAAGTGAGTCCAGAGAGCGCGAATCACAAACCGAGAGACGTAACTCCATCCTATCATGTCATGTGTTGTGTGGGCGTACAGCTTCCCGGTTGCCCAGGCCGAAGTAGTGGGTTCACTTAAGGGGCCCCACCCGGTTGGTAAATGGAATCGGGAGCGGCGAACTTACGCAGCGCAGACACCCATCTAACT